TTTTTAGTAGAGACGGGGTTTCACCATGTTGACCAGGATGGTCTCGATCTCTTGACCTCGTGATCCACCCGCCTCAGCCTCCCAAAGTGCTGGGATTACAGGCTTGAGCCGCCACGCCCGGCCTTATTATCACCTTATTTTAACTTGTTAATTTTCTGCCCTTCCTCCCACTATAACATAAGATCCACTAAGTCAGATTTTTTTTTTTTTTTGCTGCTTTGCTTACTGTATTCCTAGCACATAGTCTAGTTCCTGACTTTTTAACAAATGACTAACTTTTCACAAAGACATGAAGAATTGGTATATTCAGTTAAACATCTCATTAACCTTAAAGAAGTAGCATTGATGTGACTTCAGTAAAAAAAAACCCTGATATACACATTAACCATTTAATAAAAGGCTACCTTCTTACCATTTGTCTTAGAGTCTCCCAACACAAGACTAGTCGTGGGTGAACTATGATAACACCATATGTCAAATCTTCTTCTGACCTAAAAGCAGTTACTTTGGATAAAAGCATAGGTTTTGGAGCCAGCCTTGCCAGGATAAACCAGCGATTTAAGTTCAGGTAACAATGTCTTTAACTTTTCCATGCCTTAAATTTTTGTATGCTTGGTTTTTGAGGCAGAGTTTTGCTCTTTTTGCCCAGGCTGCAGTGCAGTGGTGCAATCTTGGCTCACTGCAACCTCTGCCTCTTGGATTCAAGCAATTCTCCTGCCTCAGCCTCCTGAGTAGCTGGGATTACAGGCACCTGCCACCATACCCAGCTAATTTTTTGTATTTTTAGTAGAGATGGGGTTTCACCACGTTAGTCAGGCTGGTCTTGAACTCCTGACCTCAGGTAATCCACGTGCCTTGACCTCCCAAAGTTAAATTTTTCATTGTATTAGTGGGGAAACTAACAGTAATTCATCTCATAGAATTGTTGTGAGAAATAAATGCATCAAAATATGCTAAGAATTTACAATAGCACTTGATTCTAATTCTCTGACTCACTAGGTTCTTCACTACAGGGAGGTATCTAGTCACTTAAGATGACCCTGAAAATGGTAACTTACCTATTCAAAAAAATCACAGTATTAGGAAGTGACCTTAGAGCAGCAATTCTTTTTTTTATCTCTCTTGAGACAGAGTTTCATCGTTGTCACCCAGGCTGGAGTGCAGTGGCATGATCTCAGCTTGCTGCAACCTCCGCCTCCTGGGTTCAAGCAATTCTCCTGCCTCAGCCTCCTGAGTAGCTGGGATTACAGGGGCAAGCCACCATGCCCAGCTAATTTTTTGTATTTTTAGGAGAGATGAGGTTTCACCATGTTGATCAAACTGGTCTCAAACTCTTGACCTTGTGATCCACTCATCTCGGCCTCCCAAAGTGCTGGGATTACCCAGCAAGAACAATTCTTTAATTGTTCCAGATAAGGAAATCAAGACTAAGAAGGAAAGTGATTTGCTCAAAGTCACAAAACTAGTGGTGGTCTGCTGGATGTGGTGACTCATTTCTGTAATCCCAGCACTTTGGGGAGCCGAGGCAAGAGGATCGTTTGAGGCCAGGAGTTCAAGATCAGCATTGACAACACAGCAAGATCTTGTCTCTACAAAAATTTTTAAAAGCTCCACATGGTGGCATGCACTTGTAGTCCTAGCCAGCTACTTGGGAGGATGAGGCAGGGGGATGAGCTGAGACTAGGAGTCTGAGGGTGCAGTGAACTATAATCATGCCACTGCACTCCAGCCTGGGTGATAGAACAAGACACTGTCTCAAAAACAACACTAACAGGCTGGGTGTGGTGGCTCACACCTGTAATCCCGGCACTTTGGGAGGCCAATGTGATATCACTTGAGCCCTGGAGTTTGAGACCAGAGTGGGCAACACAGGGAGATCCCAGTCCTATTTTTTTTTTTTTTTTTTT